GTGCAAGGGAAGTGAACTTCACTCCCTTTCCATTTAAGCAAACATGCTTCAACAGAAGATATTATATTGGAGAAGAGTGGCATCTTGCTGTGCCTCTGAGGCTGTAGGACAGATACTGGCTGCCTTCTCAGCTATCTCTTTTGTTTATACAACAGGAAAAAGTTCATCTGAAGTGTGAAGCCCTAGCCACAATTTACGCAAGATTATGACTGCCATAGACAAGCTGGGCTCTGAGCCAAACTGTTTTCAAAACTAAAAAAACCTTTTAGCACTAACAACTTCAAAGTTAGTAACAGAGAGGAGCTAAAGACATCATCCCTCTGAAAGATCTGGGGCTGGAGAGACCTGGCCCATAAAAGGTGTCTGCTTTAAAAATTATTTTAATCAACAACCTTTCGTTTGGGGGAAACTTGTTTAATTTCTGGAGTCACTCCTGGGGCCACAGGCAATGAGCATTGTTCAAAGCAACATTCAATTGCAGGGGCCTGCCCTACACTGAAAATTTTAGTGTAGATTAGTGAAAATGTTAGTCAAGATCTGAACTCTAGCACAGTCTGGACACAAGCATATTTATACTGATCTAACACTTTGAGCTGTGTTAGATGACACTTAAAACCTGTGGCTAGCAATCATACCATTGCTAGCACTGCCAGAATTGCACTGATAGTAGATGAATGGTAGGAGACATCCATAAAATTCTCAGTGTTGACCCAGCCTGGAGGTAGTTTAAAGATGGATCAGCAGCCAAGTGCTTGGCCAAAATGGAATGTGAGCCTGACTGAGTAAAAATAAATTAGAATTGGAACTGTAGGAATTACATATACTCTAAGAAGCTAACAAAAGCAAAGCTTTGTTTGGGGCAGTATTTGAAAATAATTTTACTTTGTGTGCATCAGCCTTGAATTCCAAAGTCAAAGGGCTGTCAGCAGCTTTCTGACAGTCTCCTATTTCTAAATCAGGCAGCTGAGCTCAGCTCATGGTGGGGTGGGGGTTGCCATCTTCTGCCCTGAAACAGCTGAAGGAACTTGAACTACTGATGCTAGAATAACGTGAAATCAGGACCTTTTCCCTGTACTTTCTGTATTGCCACTGGCAGTTGTTCCATTTCAGTCCAGGTGTCGTCCCTGTTTTTATAATATAAACAGTTTAAAACAAATTCAAACAGAGCAACTAAAGTCCATTAAGATGACGGCAGTGCTTCCAGAGCAGTTGTACTTTTTATTGTAATTCCTGCCCTCGTCTTTCCTTCCCCAGCCCCATTGCGTGTTTAATTAGATTGGAAGCACTTCAAGGCAGAGCCCATGTGTTACTACTTTTGGCTGCTGTCAAATAGTATTGGAAGTTGTAAGAAATTAATAACAATAAAATTTAGATAATTGTTCTAACGCTAATGTGGTATCTTTCTCAGTGGAAGGAGGACTCCTTGGATGGTGAAACCAGTGAAGTAAAATGTTGGCCAAAGGCTTTAGCAATATTCCCCACTCATCCAGGAACATTAGTGGTCATTTTCATTTTTTTGAATACCAGAATTGCTTTATAATTTTCACTCTTAGCTTTCTTTGTACATTTGATACTATTACTGCAAAAAAAAAAAAAAAAAAAAGCCTGAGGCTCATGAAATGTTTTGATTGCTGAGCTCTTAGTGACTTATAATGGGAAAAGGTAGCAATATATTGCTTTTGCAGTTCAGTTGTTTGGTTAAATGTATCTGTAAGTTAATCTGATAGTTGGACAACAGCATATGAATAACTTATTTTTATTTAGAAAAGTCACTTAATACCACCAACCTTCAATTACTTAATATTTCAGAGTGTAGTAAACAAACAGCTGTTCAACTGATCCACTTTATAAACGTTGCTTCTCATATGCCTTGTAAATACAGCAGCAGCCTGTTGATATAATAGTCTGTGAGCAACAAAATGTTCTCACTGAGATGTACCCATTGGGTCTGGGGGTTTTTTTAGTATCCAATTGGCAAAATAAAATTGGTTCTCCAAAATTGTTCATTAAACCAATTTACTTCCATTCACAGTCCCTATAGTAAAGTGACTTTCTGAAAAAATCTAAATATCTGACCTTCACTAGGAAAGGTACTTGTTCACTGAAATTGTAGGCCAAAATACAGATTTTTTTCAGCTTCCTGTGTTTAACTTCAGTAGTGGTTTTAGTTTGTTTTCTATATAACTGCCAGTTATTTTCAATGGGCTTGACAAATTCACTTGCTCAGAAGTGGGAGGAAAAGAGTGTCTTCACCTTCTGTAGAACTTCTGTTCATTTAAAAGCAAATTAAGATTCAAGATCTGGGTCTTTCATCCAGTCCAGGATTTGCTGTGTCTGCATCTTTCTGAAAGCATGTCTTTTACTTATTTAGATATTGGCCCAAATTGAGTGCCTGATTTGAGAAAGAGAATACCTGTGCTTATTATGTGGGAAGGAGCTTTCAAATGTTATCTGAGTTTAAACTAATGCAGTGCTATTTTTCTGAATCTTCTCATTCTAAACAAGTCTTTCTGCTGTTTCATTCGCATACTACTTGGAGTTTTCAAAGTTGAGCAGTGGCCGAGGCGCTAGAACTATGCATTGAGACCAGGATTCAGAGGGTACACCTATACATTGTAAGACAGGACTGTAGTGAAACTAATGAACAAGCTCTTGAACCAGAAGCAGAATATCCATGTCATTGGCCTGCATGGATTACTGCACTAAGCTCTCCATTCTAAAGCTGATTGGCTGTTGCACAGGACTGCGCTAAAGCAGCTTTGCTGTTTCTGGCTTGTGGTATGTGCCAACACAGTGCTTCCATATCCCATACAGAGGCATTCAGAAACAGTTGAGGGAAGGCTTTGAGTAGCTGAGACCACTTTTGAAGAAAACAAGAGAGCCTAGAGTTGGAAGAAGGTGATTATCATGTTTGAGAGGAGCTGGTTGAGGTGGGGAGGCCTTCAGTAATTATCACTGTTACCTGCCATAGTTTTTTAAAATGATGGTGTAAATTGAGCAGGATCCAGGGACCAGTACCTAACTTAGATTCTTTCCCAGAAGCTCAGGATGGCAGAAATTGCCTCATCTTGGTCTTGGCCTTGTCCCTGGGTAGATAGTCTTTTAATGTCTAGTAAAATTTCAAAGAGTGGGCATATTGATAGTAGGTTAGAGAAGATGTTCAATGCTCAGAGAAATATGGGAGAAGAAAAGAGAAACAGAAAAATATATGATGGGGAGATGGAATATGCAGTGTAAGGAAGGGGGAAGAAAGAACTGTATGGAGTGGGGAGAAAAAAGAGTAAATAGACCAGTAGCCCACATCTTCCAAATTTGGGAGCCAGAAATTAGGCTTCCCAAATCTATGTTTTGGTGTCTTAACAGTGGGATTTTTCAAAATGCCTAAACAATTTAAGAGCCCACATCCCATTGACTTTCCATGAACAGGGAAACCTAAAGTTAAGCTCCGAGTTTTAAAAAAGGATTGGTCCCTGAAAACCATAGAAAACTGAGAATAAAGCCAGGAAGGAAAGAAGGTCTAACAAAAGGATGAAGTAACTAAAGCTGCTTAAAAAGAATAGTGTTAATATTCTAGCAGTGCTGCTCATTCATACAACAACTCATTCAACACATATTTTTACATTGTATTTGAGCTGCTCCAGAGCTTTCTAGATGCTGTTTGAGAAATAACTGCAAATGAATTCTGGTGTTATTTGTTCAGTATATTCAACTTCCTTCTGCTATTTGACCAGCCTGGTTAATTTTTTTGTAAAGTATGTTGAATATAAATTTGCTTGCTATCAAGTACAGTAGAAAAAGCAGTTTTCTTACTAATTTAATTTGCAGAAGGTTATAACATTACATGGATTTGGTGCTAATATCTTTCACTCTGCCTATTAGATTTAACCCTCAAACAAGTAGATGACATAAGTTTACAAAGGCCTGTACAGTTAATTGCCTAACAGTTATAAGGAACAACAGTCTGTTGCATCCCTATGCCTCTGGAGAAGTTATTTTGTCCAGTATATTTCAAAAGTTTCTGATGGGAGTTGCACTTAAAAGATGAAGATTCTTTAAAGGCACAGATTAATCTTTTGAAATACTCTCATAGGAATGCTTTGGTTTGTCTGCCTAGGTCCTTAGACCAACATGGCTACAACCTATACGCCTGTAACACTGGTTTACCCATAGCATTTTAGCTCAGAAAACTTTGATTTCAAATATGGTTGAGCTATAACTGAATGGAATGATTGTTTATTATATTATACATGTTTTCCTTTTCACAAACCAACACAGTTTGGCATATTTTAGCATGTTTAACAATCTACTTTGGAGAGAGCCCCTGACTGCAATAATAGGAAGAGTTGTGGGACAAATTTGATGAGAATAAACAAAAGCTGCGTGTGAATAACTTTACACTAGCAGTTCCCAGTCTTTTGAGCTGCAACCCAACTGCCAGCTATTTCATGACTGAGTATGACCCCACTTCTCATCTGAGCTCATCAGGGGTAATTTAATGTCTGTGGCACTTGTGTCCCCACTCATAATGGTCATGACCTCTTTTGGAAATCACTGGTTTACACATTGCCTGCCCACACTCAGGATAGTGTGCAGAGTCTAACTCCATATGGTCTGCTATCAGATGGGGCTTCTTGGTATTACTTTATTATTCAGTTAATTGTTCAGCTTGGTCTTGTTAGTGAACACTAATTTTTGTGAACACTAAATATAATCCATCTTTTTAAAATATATATCCTATGATTAAAACAGAATAAAAGGTTTGTATTTGGTGATGCATTATGTGCTTTTGTATGTTTTCTATAAAAAGCCTCTGCATATTCATTGCAATGTATTTGATAAAAAAATAAGGTCTGAAATTAAGCGTTTCATTTACAGGCTTTTTAAATTACTAGACAGCATGGATTAAGTACATCAACATTACAGGATAGCATGGTAAGACGGAAATAACTTCTCTGGTTTTACTCAATTCCTAAAGTATTTTTCTTTTTGTAAACTTTTAGGACCCTGCAAAATTGTACAAGAAATCTGGAGAAGTTGCAACAGTTGAATTTCATGCTGAGGAAAGTGTACAAGGAGAAACAAATCCTGCCTCTAAGAAGTTCTCTCCACTACAGTCTGAAATGACAGATTATATAAAGTCAGTTCCTCCTCCTTTTGTTGGTAGCCGTGATCCTGACTTGAAGGACCGAACACAAATTAATGGAGCAACAACTGTAACAGAAAAACTGGCTCAGCTTATTGCCACTTGCCCCCCCTCAAAGTCTTCCAAAACAAAGCATAAGAAACTAGGAACTGGGACTGCAGCTGTACTGGGTAATAAGGACTTTGTAAAGAAACTGCCAGGAACTGGGACTGCAGCTGGCCTGGGTGATAAGGATTTGGTGAAGAAACTGTCAGTAACTGGCATTGCTGCTGGATTGGTTAACAAGGACTCAGGGAAGAAGCCATTGGGGACTGGCAGTGCAGCCATATTGGTTAACAGAGATTCTGGGAAGAAGCCAGCAGGGATTGGCCCTTTAGCTGGATTGGTTAACAAGGACTCTGGAAAGAGGCCACCAGGGATTAGCACTTCAACTGGGTTAGTTAACAAGGACTCTGGGAAAAAGCAGCCAGTGACAAGTTCTGTAGTAGTTGGATTAATTAACAAGGACTTTGGAAGGAAACCACCTGGGGTTGGCACTCAAACTGGATTGACCAATAAGGAGTCTGGGAAGAAGCCACCAGGGATAGGCACTCCAGTGGGACTGCTTAACAGGGACTCTGGGAAAAAATCACCAGGGACTGGCACTCCAGCAGGGTCAGTTAACAGGGACTCTGGGAGGAAGCTGCCAGGGATTGGCATTCCAGTGGGACTGGTTAACAGGGATTCTGGAAAGAAGCTGCCAGGGATTGGCACTCCAGTGGGACTGGTTAACCGGGACTCTGGGAAAAAACTGCCAGGGTTTGTCACTCCAGTAGGACTGGTTAACAGGGACTCTGGGAAGAAGTCACCAGGGATTGGCACTCCAGTGGGACTGGTTAACAGGGACTCTGGGAAGAAGTCACCAGGGATTGGTACTCCAGTGGGACTGGTTAACAGGGACTCTGGGAAGAAGTCACCAGGGATTGGTACTCCAGTGGGACTGGTTAACAGGGACTCTGGGAAGAAGTCACCAGGGATTGGCGCTCCAGTGGGACTGGTTAACAAGGACTCTGGGAAGAAGCCGATGACCCTTGGGAGTTCAACGGTATTGATTAACAAGGACTCTGGGAAGAAGCCACCAGGAATTGGCACTCCAGTGGGTTTAGTAGTTAACAAGGACTCTGGGAAGAAGCCACTGGGGATTGGCACTCCAGTAGGGTTAGTAGTTAACAAGGACTCTGGGACTCTGAAAGCTGACACAAGCCTTTCTCACATGCCTTCTACAGAGCCCTTCAAGCTTTCTTGCAGTTCAAACCTCAGTAGCCTTGAAAGCCATGAGACTACAGATTTACTGAAAGACAATAACAACAGTAAAACATTTGAAAAACATATTATAAGACAGAATAAAGAAAGCGTCCTGGAAAAATTTTCTCTTCGGAAAGAGGTTGCTGATGTAGATACAGAGAAATGTAAGGAAGGAACCTGCATTCCACAAGACTGTTTCTCATCCAATGAAAAGGGGACTTTTGAGGCATCTAAGCATGAAAAGCAGCCTCCAGTATATTGCACTTCACCAGACTTCAGGACGGGAGGAGCTTCAGATGTATCTACAGCAAAGTCCCCATTTAGTGCAGTAGGGGAGGGAAACCTCCCATCACCCTCACCCACTGTGTCTGTTACTACCTTAAGTAGGAGTCTCACAGCATCTTCCTCTCAGTTAACTTCAAATCCTTTGCATTTAAGTACCACAGCAGATCTGTTAGAAGGAATTTCTGAGCAGAGTGGAAAGACCCATTTTTCTTCTGACAGTACACTTCTGAACCTGAACAGAACATTAAATCACAGTCTGAGTACTGACAAAGATTTAAACGATTCAAAAGGGACACGTGTAGAAACCCCAAGAACTGTTCCTGCTATAGGAAAGAAATCCAGCTTGGTAACTGAATCAAGCATTCATGCTTCTCTCACCCCTTCAGTAGTTAGTTTCACAAGTTTGTTTAATAGCAAACAGTTTCTAAAGATTGGCGCAATAACTGCATCGGAGAAATCCTGCCAAGGTGCTGAAAGTCTAAGCACTAGTCAGCAGTCAAAACCATTAAAGAAAAGAAAAGGAAGGAAACCACGATGGACTAAAGTGGTGTCTAGAAGTGCATGTCGGTCTCCAAAGGGTCTAGAATTAGAAAGGTCAGAGCTTTTTAAAAACATTTCATACAGTACATTGTCAAGCAGTAATCTGGAACAGGCCAAGTTCTTGAAAAATATAGGGTCATCATCATTTATAGAACATGAATTTGTCAAACATCAGTTGCCAAAACTGAGCAAGTCTAGTAGTGGACAGTCACTTGCACTGCTGACAGAAGCTGACAAACAGGCTCAAAAATTCTATACTACCCACAAACAGCCCTCCAGCATGTGTATAGCAGATGACCTCTTACCTGAAATGTATAAGCCCAAAAGAGGAAGGCCAAAATCAAAGGAGATGCCTGAGCTTGAAGGTCCCCCAAAGAGAACCCTAAAAATCCCAGCATCAAAAGTTTTCTCTGTGCAGTCAAAGGAGGAGCAGGAGCCACCTGTTCTGCAGCCAGAGGTAGAAATTCCCTCCCTAAAACAAAGCCTAACAGGCCAGGCTTTTCCAAAGAAGAGAGGGAGACCCAAAAGGCAGATCAGATCATCAGTTAAAATGAAACCGCCTGTTCTTTCTGTAGCTCCTTTTGTTGCTACAGATAATTCAAATAAGATTGAGTCTGAAAGTGACCAGCACCGGAGTGGGGATTTCTTTGAGAGAAAGGAACAGCTCAGAGGCCCAGAGGAAGTTCAGCAAACTGTATGCAGCATGTCTGACCTTGAGGTAGAATCAGACAGAAAAGTTACCAAGAGAAATAATGGGCAATTAATGAAAACAATTATCCGAAAAATAAATAAAATGAAAAGTTTGAAGCGAAAGAAACTTTTGAATCAAATCCTCTCTAGTACAGTGGAACCAAATAACAAAGGGAAAGTGCAATCAAAACTCCACAATACAGTGTCAACTCTTGCTGCCACATTTGGTTCTAAATTAGGGCAGCAGATAAATGTCAGCAAGAAAGGAACCATTTACATAGGAAAGAGGAGAGGTAGGAAACCTAAAACTGTCCTAAATGGTATTTTAAGTAGTAATTCTGCCAGTTTAACTGCTCTTGAGAAGTCTGCCCAGCAAACGAATGGGACATCACTAGGTCAAGTACTTCCCCCACTGCTGCCTTCAACCGCTAATAATTCAGAGGTTCTTCCATCTCCAGTTTGCTCTCAGTCTTCTGCAGCGAGTGGGGGACAGAGCCCTGTCAGTAGTGATACAGGTTTTGTTGAGCCGAGTTCAGTGCCATATTTACACATACACGCTAGACAGGGCGGAGTGGTTCAGACCCTTGCAATGAAAAAGGCCTCCAAGGGCAGGAGGAGATTATCTCCTCCTACTTTATTGCCAAACTCTCCTTCTCACTTAAGTGAGCTAACATCTCTGAAGGAAGCCACTCCTTCACCAATCAGCGAGTCTCACAGTGACGAGACCATTCCTAGTGACAGTGGGATAGGAACAGATAATAACAGTACTTCAGACAGAGCAGAGAAGTTCTGTGGACAGAAGAAGAAAAGGCATTCATTTGATCACGTATCCCTCATTCCTCCCGAAACATCAACAGTTTTAAGTAGCCTAAAAGAAAAACACAAACACAAATGTAAGCGCCGGAGTCATGATTACCTCAGCTATGACAAAATGAAAAGACAGAAGCGAAAAAGGAAAAAGAAGTACCCCCAGCTCCGAGGTAGGCAGGATCCTGATTTCCTTGCTGAGTTGGAGGAACTAATAAGTCGCCTGAGTGAAATAAGAATTACCCACAGAAGTCATCATTTTATACCCCGAGACCTATTGCCTACTATTTTCAGAATAAATTTCAATAGCTTCTATACCCACCCCACTTTTCCTTTAGATCCTTTGCACTATATTCGAAAACCTGATTTAAAGAAGAAAAGAGGCAGACCCCCCAAAATGCGAGAAGCTATGGCAGAGATGCCTTTTATGCATAGCCTTAGCTTTCCTCTTTCCAGTACTGGCTTCTATCCTTCCTATGGCATGCCTTACTCTCCTTCTCCCCTTGCAGCTGCTCCGATAGGCTTAGGCTATTATGGAAGGTACCCTCCAACTCTTTATCCTCCACCACCTTCTCCTTCTTTCACTACCCCACTGCCACCACCTTCTTACATGCATACAGGCCACTTGCTTCTTAATCCTGCCAAATACCACAAGAAGAAACATAAGCTTCTGCGTCAGGAGGCCTTCCTTACAACCAGCAGGACTCCACTCCTGTCGATGAGCACCTATCCCAGTGTTCCACCCGAAATGGCTTATGGCTGGATGCTTGAACATAAGCACAGACATCGTCATAAACACCGAGAACATCGTTCTTCAGAACAACCGCAGGTTTCTATGGACACTATAACAGCAAACAGTTCTTCTAGAACAGTCCTAGAATCCTTGAAGCGCTATAGATTTGGGAAGGAGGCTGTTGGCGAGAGATACAAACATAAAGAGAAACACAGGTGTCATATGTCTTGTTCGCACCTTTCACCTTCAAAGGGTTTGCTCAGCAGAGAGGAGCAGTGGGTCAGGAGAGAGCCTTCAGAATCGAATACGTTAGCATTGGGATTACAGACGCCATTACAAATAGACTGTTCTGACAACTCCCCAGGTCTGTCCTTGGGAGGATTTACTCCTAGCTCTGAAACAGCCAGCAGTGACGAACATACAAATCTTTTCACAAGTGCAATAGGCAGCTGCAGAGTGACCACCTCTACCAACACCAGTGGACGTAAAAAGTTGACCGACAGCCCTGGACTCTTCAGTGCACAGGACATTTCTCTCAGTCGACCTCTTAGGAAGGAGCCATTGCCTTCTATTGAAAAGTCACTACAGCCACTGGCAGGTAGGAGAGCTCTTCTTGGTACATCCTTTCTCGTACGGCATGTTATTTTATCATATTTCAAAGGTAATAAAATAATTTTTGTGAAGTGTGGCAAAGGTAACATTGGGTTTATAGGCACCCCTAGGTACTATTATAAAACAATTTGAAATGATGGGGGCGGGCCCTGCGTAGGCTGCTTTGCCTTGAGCCATGGGCCAAAGAAGTGGCAAAGAAAAACTCGGCTTGCGGTGGCAAAACGGGAAGTCCCCGGTACTTCCAGTTTTGCTTTTGCCCTGTCCCTCGGATGCCGGTTAATAGAGTTTTCCAGCTAATAAAGTGCTGGTTAACACAGCTTTTGCTGTAGTAGTATTGTGTGACCCAAAGGGAACACAGGAATTTTTAAAATCTTATACCAATTGATCTTTATTAACTGTAATTAGGGAATTCATATTTTTACTTATAAAATGAATAAAGCAAAAAAAAAAGGAAACTAACTTGAAAGAGTTATTTGAAGACCAGAATATATTTTAATGGAATTATTTTTCAGAAGGTTAACCTGCATTCTGTTGTTTCCTAGCTGGATTAGACACAGTGTCAGTGAAGAATGTGGGCTTTAAAATCCCAAAGTAAATTTCCTTCCCTCCCCCCAAACAACTAAAAAAATATTCTGCACAAGTGTTCTACAGAATTTTGTGTACTAATTTAGGTGTCACTATGTGCAGTATTTCCTTTGCGTTTTAGAAATTTGTGTTGGAATAAATGTTTCTTGTCTTAGCCACTTCTGTCATAATTCCTGCAGGCATCCTGGTAACATCACAAAGCAAAGGTAACCCACAAAAGAACAAAATAGTACTTGTGCTCTTATTTTCTTCTTTATCACTTATAAAGAAGCTGTAATGGGTTTTTTTCCTGCTTGAAATTCAAGTTTTGTTTGTCCTTAAAAGATTGTCTGATGATTGGACAACTAGTTAATAATGATTCCACAAGAGTTAAGAGAGTGAAAGCTGAGTTCTTTGAATTGCTCTTCGTAACATTGTTTTAAGACAGGTTATTTTTGGATGCATTTATTAATATGATCTGTCTTCAGTTAGGCAGCTGTTGATCCTCTGGATCACGATGTACATATAAGTGGTCTTGTCAGGTGCCTGATGAACAGAGATCCTGATTTTCTCTAATAAAAATAGCAAATTCTCTAATAAAGCCCCCCAAATCCGCGATTAAATGGAACGCTGCTATATATATAGGTATCAATTGAACACAATGTTTTATTGATATATTTATAATTTTAAAGCAATTTGAAAGCCTGCCAGTGCCTCTATCATTATAGTAAAATAAATTCTAAATACCTATATATTTTGGCATTTGATACTGTTTTCCATCATGGAAAATTAGAGCTCCCTTTGCCCTTTTAGCTCACCAGGACACCAATCCAGGCCCCCTGGTCCCAAGCCGTAGCCCCCCAGCCCCTCACTCCCCCCCGTTCTTCTCGTTGAGCTTCTCCATGTACTGGGCCACCACATC